GGAACTTGAGCCTGGCATAGGGGTGTATCTTGTTCAAAGGAGAGCTAATAGAAAGGAATAGGAAAAGGGCCTATCTGTCTGCAAAGATATGGAGATCCTACAAGACACTCCAGTGCATTTGGCCTGACTGTTGCAGGCCAGGGCAGGTGTGCGGGTGCAGGTGTGCATACTGCAAACAGCTAGGCAGACGTGAGATGTAGGGAATTTTCCTATTTCAGATTACAAAGCTGGAACAGAGGTGAGACAGACCACTGATGAGGGCTTCAACTATCCTAGCACCTACCAGAAAGCTCATTACCTAAAACAAAGCAGCTGACAAATGGGCTAGACTTGAGGACTGTACATTCTTTTAAATGTAGAGAAAAGATGGGTAAGCACTTACGGCCTGTGACCCTAAAACGGGAGAAACTCAAGAGGGAATAGTCGGCTCTGCAAGATGAAATGAATCGTGACTAATCCCAGAGAAGTGGCAACAGGGACGGATCTAAAGGAGCTATTGTGTTTCTCATGACATGTTCTGTTTAGAAAAGGACGTGTACAAAGATAGAAGGAAGGGCACAGTACCAAGGACAAGCTGAGAAGAGTGACACATTTCTGTGAGAACTGTGCCCGACTTGAGCTGAGGCTTACAAAAAAATTGCTAAAGTTGGCAAGAAAAAAAAAACACGGTGGTGGTAATTATTTTTAGTTATGATTAAAAAAGGCATGAGGCCCATTGCTTAGGGATCATGATAGCATGTTAACAGAAGACAGAGAAAGTAAGATGGCTCAAGTCTCGTTTCATGTCTAACCTCTCCATAAAAGCAAAATGGCTTTATAACCAGAAAGCTTTAAATCAGCATCATTAAAAGAGCCCTGGGCGGCTGGGCGCAGTGGCTCACGCCTGTAATCCTAGCACTCTGGGAGGCCTAGGCGGGTGGATCATGAGCTCAAGAGATCAAGACCATCCTGGCCAACATGGTGAAACCCCGTCCCTACTGGGAAAAAAAAACAAAAACAAAAACAAAATTAGCTGGGCATGGTGGTGGGCGCCTGTAGTTCCAGCTACTCAGGAGGCTGAGGCAGGAGAATCGCTTGAACCTGGGAGGTGGAGGTGGCAGTGGGCCAAGATTGCGCCACTGCACTCCAGCCTGGTGAGAGTGAGACTCTGTCTCAAAAAAACAAACAAAACAAAACAAAACAAAAAGAGCCCTAGGTACTAAGGGCAGGGGCTGTGGTATGGCAATAAGAGTGGGTCCTCTCGGGCTCTTTCATCCAAATCTCCAGGCCCTGCAGGCTCACACCCCATGGCCCTGCACAAACCTCCAGAGAGGCAGCGCTAACATACTTAATCCCTGGGAAACCGCTGGAGACCAGGAGAGTTCCAAAAGATGCTTGTTAGCAAATGTCCCAATTTACCCAAGAGGGAAAGATACAGGTCCTCCTGTATGGGCTGGTAAGCCAGGCAAAAGTTTAGGTCATATAATAGTTTTTTAAGCCCTTCAAAAAGGAAGAGATGGGTTTTGAGAGTTGGCATGGGTTTGAGAGGAATAAGCCAGGCCAGTGACTCGACTGGCTTTCTCGCTTATAGGCTGCCTAAGGGGGCAGACTGGAGAAGGCTACAGTGTATCTTGAAGCCTATATACATCTTTATCTACTTAGACCCTTGACAACACAGGTGGCATGGTCACTGGGCTCAGGGATGCCTAAGAGTAGGCTTCGGCCATTCTGAGCACCTTATAGTCTTGAGCCCAGCACATTCTCTGAAGCCACCATGCTACCGCTACATAGTGTTCCCATGCAGAGTCACCTTCCTCACACCCTTTGGCTGGCTGTCTGTTCTTCAAGACTCCGCTCAAACAGCACCTCCCCTTGGAAACTTTCTCTTCTGCTGAGTACGATTTAGAAGTTCCTTATCCACGCTGGCCAAGCACCCTGTAAACTCGGCTGTCACTATCACAGTGTGCTTTCCCTGGGCTGCAACTGACAGTTTCCTTATCTGCCTCTCCCAATGCCTGCAAGCACCCAAATGGGATTGTATTTCCAAAGCCCAGCACAGTGCCAGGCACAGAGGGGACCCTCAAGACATGATGATTGCTTGCATGAGTTTTGCTTAGAGGCTCAAAGTCAACCTGAAAGAGGTTATCTCTAATTGTGTTCTGTGTGTTTCTCCAAGTCTAGACTTTTATCAGTGACTTGGAAGAATAATATACTTTCAGAGACCATAATGTTGGGAGAAAAGGGTAAGTAGATGAGAGGCTCAAAGTTCAAGGTCTGATAATCTACAGACTGGTCATACAGCCTGAAAACACAGCTAACTTTTTTGTACAGGTTTATTATCTTGATTTTCCTGTGGTATGATAAAGGCATAGCTTTGTTTTTATTTTGTTCTTAGTTGAATACCAGAGACAGATCATCTGAGGCAATGCATCACAGATGAATATGTAGGTATTGATAGAAATACTGCATTAATGTACCATAGTCACTGCAATTTTGCACAGTGCTTGGACTTATGCATTACTAATGAAGGACAATACATGAATATCTCATGTAATGTCACTGACCATATTATATATTATAATGTAATAATTCATTTATTATACATGTTCATCTATGTTTCTGAACTTCATGGACATGGCATTAAAAGATAAATGATAACCAACAATGAAATTTTAATAGAAGTAATCATTCTTCTTTGAGAATAAAAAAAGTAATAAAGTTTTATATTAGGTCTCAAAAAAGGTCAACTAGATATCTACAGTATGAGGAATATCTGGCTTTATCCATCCATCCATCCATCCATCCATCCATCCATCCATCCATCTATCCTGAGCGCTATGTGCTAAATACTAAACTAGGACCTACAAATTAAATGAAAAATAAACACTGCCTCCCCTGAGCTTATATCCTACTGGAGGGAAATGAACATAAGTAAGTAAACTAAATAACTGCAACTGCCGATGAGGGCCATGAGTAAAATAAAATAACATGTGATGGAGACAGGAGAGACTTTGGGATAAAGGGGTATGTAGACGTGTCTCCGGGGTTGCAGGAAGTTTATGTAAGGAAGAGCTGGGTGGCACCTGGCTGGCCGTCAGCTAGAAGTGAGTCAAGGATGTGCTGCAATTGTTAAAAAGTAACTGCAAGGCTGGGTCACATTAATAGAGGCAGAGTGACGAGCAAAATCAAGGGTAGTGACAATCCTACTGCCTCTGTGGTGGTCGCACTGCTTCTAGACCACCTTCTGCAGTTGTACATGCTATACTTTTTTTTTTTTTTTTAATTGAGACGAAGTCTCGCTTGGTCGCCCAGGAAGGAGTGCAGTGGTGCCATCTCGGCTCACTGCAAGCTCCACCTCAGCGGTTCAAGCGATTCTCCTGCCTCAGCCTCCTGAGTAGCTGGGATTACAGGTGCGTGCCACCACGCCCAGCTCATTTTTTGTATTGTTAGTAGAGACGGGGTTTCACCATGTTGGCCAGGATGATCTCAAACTCCAGACCTCGTGATCCTCCCCGCCTTGGCCTCCCAAAGTGCTGGGATTACAGGTGTGAGCCACCATGCCTGTGGCGCGATCCGTGGCTCATGGCAACCTCTGCCTCCCGAGTAGCTGGGATTACAGGCATGCGCTGCCAAATGCTATACTTTAGGAAAGTCATTGAGCAGATCCAGAAGAGGAGTCTAGGAACCACATCTTATGAGGCAAGGTTGAGAGAATTAGGGAAGCTTAGTTTGCAGAAGGAGCGACCAGGCAGTCATCTTTAACATATCTGATGATTCAAGGTGCTTAGAGAAGAACGAGTCTATTCTGTGTTATCCTAGGAATTCAAATCCGAACAACTGAGAAGAAGCATCGCGTAATTTAAAACAGGAGAGAAATTTCTAATAGCATTCCAGCTGTGCAGAAATGGAATGGGCTTTTGAAGAAGTGGGCACCCCATCCTCAGAAGTATTCAAACAGGGATTGGGTAAACAGCTGTTTAAAAGACGTCCTTAAGGATATTTCTTTGGGAATAGAGTAGAACTGTGTTTCCTTGGAAGATTTTCTCATCTTGGAATGACAAATCATCTTTAAAATGTTTGAGCCACAAGCAACAATAATGCCAAGTACTTTGGATCCTTCCTTCCTCCTAAGAGTTTCTGCTTCTTTGGAAGAATGGTCTCTTGAAGATAAAAGGAACTGATCCATCTTAAATTTTTAAAAAAATTTTCATGATTTTAGGTTTGAATGCATGATTCATCTTTAGTCATGGGCTTCTCCTGTCACTGGGGCAGAGGCTGTCTTGCTGGGAGGCCTAAGCCTGAGCAGGAAGATGTGGACCTCCTGCCTTCCTGCCCTCAGTAACAGTGAGCTGATGGAGGATGGGAATCCCTAAAGGCATATGCTGTGTGGTTAGAAGAAGTGACCTCCACTCACAAGGATTTCTGAGACCCAACATATGGGGATGAGGAACCATGTCAAGGCTAGTTCAGCATGTAACTAGAAACAATGGTACAATGCTTCTGCTCATCTTCCCTGCATTTGTGTGTGTGCGTGTGTATCTGCACGTGTGTAAGTAAAGCTCTCAACTTGCCACCTTACAGTATCAGGTGACCCACACCTTAAGTCTTGGGTCAAAGGCTCAGTTGTATCTAGGAGTTCTGCAGAACTTTCTCATAAGGCATAAGGCCTCTCCCTTTCTCTGGAATGTGGATTTATCACAGGCAGACAGGTGTTTCACCTTCTGTTCCAATGCCCTTTTAAGGCTATGTCTGCAAAAAAGACTTTACTGAACTCTACAGTGTATACAGCCACTTTACTCAGTGTAATCATTTTATGATTGGGATTTGATAGTGTATCAATTCTGTCTCTACCTATATTTGGAATGGAAACTAAATCAAAACCCATTAAGATTAAGGTTTAAGGCAGTGGTAAACTTGAATCCCAGACCAACATGTTTTTCATCTATTTGCTTTGTGAAGAAAATACGTTTTTCAAAGTCCAGCGGAGAACATGGGATATAAGTTCAGTGAAACTCCCATACCTGAGCCACAGACAACAAAAACAAACAGTGCCAACAGCCATGGTCCCACAGGATATTTCTCCTCTTGCGGCCTCTAAAAGGGAATGGGAAAAAGTAAGATTAGGTTCATTGACTCAAGAAACATTTATTTGAGTATCACTAGGCATTGTGCTAGGTGCTAGGGATTCTACTGTGAATGAGACAGACTTGATTTCAATCCCTCAGTGGACAGATATAGATGGATGAAGTCCATTAAAAGGATTGAGATAGGTTTGCAAAAATTCATCAATAACCTTATTAACATCCCTGTAACTCAGTGAACTGTAACTGGGGACAGATATGGTATGAATGCATAAACCAATATGGTGATTTAGGAACCAAAGTGATATTAATAATAACTTTGCACCTGCTGAAGGTATGCTCTGTGCCAGGCACTATACTAGGCAGTCTGTATTCATTATTTCTGGCAAGTATTATTATTTCCATTTCGGAGTTGAGAAACTGAGGTTCAAAGTTTGTTAACTTGAGCAAGAACTGGGATTCAAATTTAGGTCTGCCTCATTACAAAGACTGGGTGTTTTCCATGAACAGATTCGATATTTAGGTTCTGCATCTGTGAATTCCAAGCAGGATCAGAGATCACAGACATTTTCTCAAAACCTTTTACATACCCCCAAATTAGGAAGTCAGTACAGTGGAAATCCTTGGAACAATAGAAGCACCACAGCAATTGTGAATGGTTATGAGTGAAGCAGTATTTTGTAATAAAACTCCTAAGCCTTAATAAAGCTAGAAATTGGGATAGGTCTCTGAATTCTCTGGGAAGCAGAAGGTGACTGTCAAAACTGCATGAATGAAGCCCTACAGACCTCCTGCTTTTTTCAAACCAAAAGCACAGACAAAACACCTCCAGGTCTATGTGCAGGTGGGGCTTGGTCCTTAAACCCAAATCAATCAGAACAACAAATATTTTCTGACAGATGCATCAGAAAAGAAGTAAACTTCTCAGAATAGGAGACTGGGGAAAAAAAAACAACCCAAATAACTCACTAATTATTTTCTGATTAGCTTGAAAAATAGGCTGCATTCAATACACATTAAAGAATTCACATGCAAAACACACAAAGAAAAACGTGTTGGTAGAGTGGAATGTTCACAAGTATTGATTTGTGGTTGATATCATAAAACCCAATTCCGGATTTCAATTAAATGTTGTTGACATTTAAACATTATATTCAACATTGTAAAATACGGGCTAAAACGTATGTTCATATCCATACAAATATGACAGCTTGACATTCAGACTGAAGGTATGTAATAGTGTTTCAAAAAAAAATGAGTGGTGCTATCATCAAGGATGTAAGTTTTTGAAATGTTGAACAAATTTTAGTAATGTTTCCAACAAAAATTTCTTTAAAAAAGGATAATCTTCCTCTGATTTTCACTGCAGTTGCTTTCCTAAAAATTTATCATATAGTAAAACTGCAAAATCTATGATGTGTTGTATTGATATAAAATTAAGTTCTAGGCTAATGTAAATATAAACTGGCTTCTCATCTAAAAAAGGAATTTATTTTATCATAGATAAAGGCAACAGTTCTTTAGTTTTCAGCTTACCAAAGAGCCCTTCTATTTTACCTCACTTGGGTCTACTTGTCACTTGTATGGCCATATACTTTTTCTTGATAACATGTGCCACAGTTTGTAGGTCTATATTTATTCCTGTGATAGTGTGTTTAATATCTGTCTCTCTATGAGACTGTAGACCCCACAAGGGCAGGGACTATGTCTTGTTCATGTAGTAATGTATAGAAATGCCTGGCACAGAAGTTAAACATAGGGGATAATAAACATTCATTGAAGAACAAATAAACATACAAGTTTCATTAAATAAGATTTCTTAGGTTAGGTAGAGTAAACACAGGTTCTAGGAAGGATATTGTCTTTTTAGTAATACTTCCTAATTGGTGTAGGATTATCCCTGTATCTCTCCTACACAAGAAATATGGATTAAAGTGTCAACTGCAGGTAGACTGTGACTAGGGATTAAGACATTCACTTCTCTGTTCTTGACTAAGCCTGTATCTACCACCACTTACATGCCGGCAAGTCACACTGCAAAGGAATCAGTGGCTGCTCCTAATCAGATGAGGACAAAATCAGTCTTAAATAATTGCGTAAGGTAACTGTGCCATTTTTTGACCCTTAAGGCCAGGCCAAGATCAGATCCGGTAAACAACATTCATAAAGCTACCTGAACAAAGTGTGACATTCGCCCTTCCCACCCTCTTCCACCACCTACCCAGGAACTTGTCACAGTTGTCCAGAAACCTGTTCTGTTGCTGTTGTGCCACTAATGCTATATAAAAAGATTCATTTTATCTCTATTTCCAGCAAAGCTAATAAGTGAATTCAGGAGCCTGTAATGAATTATTTGCCCAGGACAGATACCAAACAGAGTCCTTTATTTTTCATATGCAGAAAAACAGATGATCAGCATGTAGAGCTTGGAGCATATAACACAAAAACCTTTTGGATGACATTCTCCAGGGAATCAACATTATTTGGGGACTTTGGCTGATCAGAGTACCTATATATCTTTTTTTGACAGCTTTGGGTGACCGCTTTTTAGAAGGGGTGCCCAGCACAATCCCATTGGGACAATTCACATATACCTGACTCTATGGCTGGAAAAGGTGGGGAAAACTAGTAGCAGTTCTGCAAATGACATGGTTTATTCTAAACATGAGTTTGCTACTTCTTGAGGCTCCAAAAATGTCAGGGAATGGCTTTCTCTGTGATTAAGATACCAGTAGAGTAACTCAGAACTCTGAAATTTAAATTCTCCCTTCATTCTGGAGAAGTTACTACTGTATAATCACAAAATGATTATTCCAATTCTCTGTTTTTCTTTCTTTCTTTCTTTCTTTTTTTTTTGACGGAGTCTTGCCCTGTCACCCAGGCTGGAGTGCGGTGGCACGATCTCGGCTAACTGCAACCTCTGCCTCCCGGGTTCAAGCGACTCTCATGCCTCAGCCTCCCGAGTAGCTGGGATTACAGGCACCTGCTACCATGCCTGGCTAATTTTTGTATTTTTAGTAGGGACGGGGTT